AAACCCTACCCCAAATAGTAGTTTCCACTTTCCAGATTTTCTAGTATCCCTATATAACCACACCTTACAGGGGACTATAATGATTAAGATTTAAACACTGACAGGATGCAGCATGGGGTCAATTTTCTCCTTGGGATTTAGCTTGGACCTTAAACCCTTAACCCTATGGGATTCCCTTATCATCCTATTGTAGGTACCTAAGGGTTAACCCCTACCCCTAAGTGCCACGTAGTTTTCTCTGCTTACAAGCTTTGGGGAACAGTTTGAATTATTGGATAGTCTGACAGACCTGGCCAATATAGGTATTCCGTGAGGTAAAAGGTCCGATATAAAAGCTGACCCCCAGACCCCGCACCTCAGACACCCCCTCAAACCCTGCACAGAAAGGGCCAAAATGAAGCTGTAAGCGCCCACGCCTAGGGGTAAACCCTAAACCCTAAACCCTTGGGCTTAGGGTTCCTACCCCCCAGCTCTATGGTAAAAAGCCCAAGACTCCAGACTCTTGATTCCAATATTGCTGAACGTCAACTCCTACACCCTGCCCTACGGTTTAAGGTTTAGGGTTTAGGGTTTTGGGTTTAGGGTTTCCTACCTTGAAGGTAGGGCTTAAGGGCTCACAAAGGCTAGTTTTTCTTGAATGGGGGGGACCTCCAGTATTAAGAGGAACCCTTATAAAGTAGGGACCCCTAAAGCTCCCGAGCACGTCTGCCTGGGTTCCGTTGAAGTCGCTAAGGGCTCTTGGTTCCACAGGCCATTCTGCACTTTGCTGCGCTTGTGTTTGCACAGGGGGTAATCATTGTCTTCCTGGACAAGGCGGCCCTTCTAGGGTTTAATGTTGAGGGTCAAGGGTTCAGCTTTGGGGGTTTTAGGGTGTAGGCTTGACCCTAAACCCTAAACCCTAAACTCCAAACCCTAAACCTTCTCATCTTCCGGGGCAAGGCCGCCATGCGGCAAACAAAGGCAAGGTCCAGTCAGGGTTTAGGATTCGTGGGCTGCAGTCGTACCCTGCTTCCACTGTAGTTTCTTGGAGTTATAGTTTCTTGGGCCTTCAAGTAGGGGCATACAATGTTTACCAAGGAAAGGGTTCTGCCACTCATGCCTAAGGGTAGTTAGGGAAGGATGCATGCAATGTTTCGGATGTATCATTGTTGACCCAGACTGTTTAGAAGTTGCGCATGTAACAAGGTCAGGTGACTCTTAGAGATCGGCATTTATGGAGCCTATCAACTTTTCAGCCGTTTTGGCATTGCATCCAAAGGCAAAAGGTCATCCAGAACCCCGAAACGTAGCGATGAGAGATTCCGAAGGCCGTGGATGCCTTCGATCCATGCGATGTAGGCACAGAGGCTTTGCTGCACTTGCTGGTGCTTTGTTTGTAGGGAACGAATGAATCCCCATAATTGTCACTCTACAACCTGTTGTAATGGTCCCCACATCCTATTCCTTCATTCCGTACTGGCCAGCAAGGATGTGCTGCTACAGTATATCGGCGTTGGAGCGTTTGTCGGAGAGACCCTGCAAGAAGTATCAGCATCGGGAGCTATGCTGACCGTCGTGTGGATTTCGCCGGATTCAAGGTTTGCTGGCAGATGGTTTCGCACGATGTTGACTATCATCTTCATACTTCCAAAGGCTGCGCTGGCATTTTGGCTGATTGTAGTGGGCTCGCAGTTTGTTCTGACCTCTGCAGCGGACGTTGATTTGATCATGAACTGTGTCGCCCTAACTTTTGTGAATAGCATGGACGATGTGATGTACAATAACCTCTACCACCTGTATGCTGAACAGCACAACAAGCTTGGATGGTCGGTCTATTTCAAGGTGAAGACCGTCGAGGCCGGACAAAAATACCTCTATAGTCCCCCTTAAGCAGATAAGATATGGGGTATATGAGGATCTTATTATAATATACCCAAAGCCATATTCTATCTACTTAAGGGGGACTATCGGGTTTTGGGGGTGTGGGGCACATATGTCTTCAGCCTGGTTTTGAAACTTTCTAGGTTGAGGACGAAACATCGGTTTGTTAGCTGAGTTTGGTTTTGAATTGTTTCGTTCCTAAATTACGGGTGTGCGTTTGGAAAAGGATCCCCGTGCGATCACTCACCTCTGTGCGGAACACCGAAAGCATGGCAAACCTTGAGAAGGGTTAAGGTTAGGCATTGGCCCCATTCAGCAACAGTTGGGTTACAATTTGAGTATGACTGTCTATAGTCCTTAATACAGTATGGCCCGTGTTAGGGACTGTTACTGGGTGGTGGCAGTGCCTAAGAGTTAGATTTCATGTTTTGGAGTTTAAGGCTTTGGTTTGAGGGTTACAGGTTTAGGCTTGGAGCTTAGGGCTTTAGAGAACCGTTTAGCTCTTAGGGCTTACAGTTTAGGGTTGACAGTCTAGGATTTAGAGTTTTAGGTTTAGGTTGCAGTTGAGTAGCCAGTTCTTGGGTAGTGGAGGCTATTCTGTTCTGTGCAATCCCGTAGGAACTCCAAAAAGGCAAGCCCGGCTTCAAGAAAACTATCCTGTCGCGTACAAGCTGCGAACAGAAGACATTTTTGTGTGTTTTCCACATGTTCACCTTTGGACCAAGCTCTTAAAAAGACTTGCGGCTCTAGGGGTGTTTATGTTTTGGACCATGCGCGGGGAAATGGAAAGCAGAGTCCTTTTCAAAATTTCCCATTTTGGGCGAGGCATTGAAAACCAGAACATACAAGCGTTTCCAAGACCAAATTGCCGCAGGGCTGGCATTTGGAGGGCCTAAGCCAAATCACCGTCTGGGAAGAGCTAAACGTAAAAAAAATAAATAAGGGTCAACAGACGAAGGGGATCCAAAACATGCAGTTAAGTATATCCCGAGATTGGGTAAGTTGAGTTTTCAGGTGGAGCATTTTCGAATTTTCGCCCGAAATCAAACTTTGAAGCTTCCTCCCATTCCAGGATGGGTGTTGGACATTCAAGGGCCCTTACTCTACCCTTGTTAGGGCCTCAAGGGAATATTTTAGGTCAAAAAGTCCATACTTTAGGTGGAACCCCCCCCACCCTGTAATAGTGATTATAAGAGATAATAAGGAGTATATCAGGGTCCTACTATACATTCCCATCATACCACTTTTACAGGGTGGGGGAAACTTTAAACCACCAAACCCCTAAACCCTAAATAGTAGTTTCCATTTTCTTGTCCATTATCCCTATATAACCCCCATAGAACCCCTATAGAACCCCTACATAAACAGGGTGGGGTGTCCTTTTAAGCCCTAAACCCTAAACCCCTAAGCCCCATTACTACAGGGTGGGGGGTCCTCCTAGCCCGTACGGGTTTTGCTTGACATCGAGCTTGACATCAAGGGCCAAATCCAGCTCTGGCCTGGGCACCCCCGGAGGTTAGGAGGGAACTTTTGGGGGGGTAGTAGTTTTGGAACCCATAATAGACCTTCAGGCATGGGCGCCGGCCCGACTTGCTCTCAAAACACTGATGTGGGGCGGTTTCACAACCTGGGCCGTTTGGTCTAAACCAGACTGTTGATGACTGTTGATTGGACGCCGGATCAGTGTCGTAGAGATGGGCGCAACTTGCCAAAGTTGGAAAGGCCGCGCCCACAAACGATGATGAATCCAAGATCATAGGTTCCATGTTCGTGCTTTTGATACCCTACACCTAAAACCCTAAACCCTGAACCCAAAAAACCCTACGGCAGCAACTGTACCGTGTCAAAATTCCGGCTGAAGCTCAGCCCTCCTTGGGGGCAAGTGCTCGCCCAAAAAGGCGTTGTCCTTGCGTGCAGGGCTTATTTAATTTCAGATTCTGAAAGTAGTACTTAGTAGCCACTTAAATCCAATCCTCGACCCAAAAAACCTAGCCGCCCCCCCGGAACATCCTGTCTGGCCCTATGCCCTAACCTCAGGAATAACTGGGCTACAGCATGCTTTGGGCCATTCCTTCTTACAGTAGCTGTCCTCAAAGGGTTCTTATTAGCGCGCTGTTAAAAGCTCTTATTATCTATTGTGGTAACAGTAACGGCGAATGACCTACAATATGCTGAGGTCTGAGGTCATGCAGGTTCGGGTATCAGCGGCAGGGAGCACCACGTGGAGCAAACCATGAGCACAGGATCTTGTCAAGAGGATGTCAACAACGGATTCGTACCTTCGAGAAAACCCAATGAGCTAGCTGGTCCTGTCATGCTCGTAAACACGGACCTGAAATGCTGAAGCCCCACGCCCTAAAGCTAGACCCAAAGGGTTCCCTGGGGAAGTTGGTGTGTATGTATATATATATATATATGGGGGCCGTCCTAAAACCCTTGTTTACTTTTTTCTACAGCCGGAACATGTGAGAAGCAAAATGAGTGCTTTTCTGTGGTCGCGAAAG